CTGAAATTCAGAAAATAATCATCCCATTCAATGTACAGAGGTCCCCATCCCTCTTCCCCACTAAATCCTATAGAGATAAGAGGCATAGTTAATGCTGATTAATCAGATCTTTTTATTCCTAGAATACAATGCTTTGAAAGCTTTGGCTCAAAATCAAGCTGGTTTATTTCTCTTAACACTCTTCTGAAAAAAAAAAGAATTCTCTCACTCCCCGAGCAGGTGAGACATGACCGCATTGGCCTGGCTCGAGCTGACCACACTAAGCAATTTAAAATGAACTGGCCAGCAAAAGTAACATATTTGGTATTCTTTTTGGTGAGTCAGAATGTGGCTGACCCAAGGTTACAGGACTGGCAAGGCCACTGGCAGCTTGGTAATATTAGGAATGGTAATTAATAATAATTAATTGCTCTTTGAGAGAAGATGGGCACCCCACACATCCGACACCACGTGTAAGGCAGAGCCTGAGGAGGCACCACATGGTGACCAAGCTGTGGTGACTGGTCAGAGCACCTTGTCCTCCAGATGTGAGTGATGCCACGCAAACCAGGGCTGGTGCTGTGACCTGTTTGTGTTTTGTAGAACATGAGTCGTTAACACCCACAAGACTCATCCTGCCAAGCTACCACGGTTTTCATTACACATCACTGACTGCTGTGGTTTGGCTCTATGGGCCACTCCACACGTGACTCACTTCTGGTAAATGAATGAGAGATGAACAGCAAATCAAATTTAAAAAGAAAAAAATCTGACTTTCCTTGCGGGAGAGGGATTTAAGAAAAATCTAAAAGACATGTATTTTGAACTTTACTAATTCATCAAGTGACCTAAATCTGTTAACTACAGAAACAGCATGTGATGAGATGATGCTTCTAAACTGTCTAAATCCACAAAATCTGCAGCTCTGTCACAATCTGTGACAAATCAGTAGTGTGCCAGAACAAACACAAACAGCCTATTCTCTCTGGTTAACTCAACACAAATCCCAGGAAAAGGAAACACAAACAGCTGAAATTGCATCCTTGGCAGTCTCTCTGTTCTACAGGGCACCCTTTCTTTCTGTCAGATCTACAAATCCAACCCAGGAGAGCTAGAGAACTATGCAGCTAAAAGTCAGTCTAAAGTAGAAGATGAAGCATTGCAAGGTTAAAAAAAATAAATAAGAGAATTTGTAATGAAAGCAACTTTAAATAGAACATCTGTTCCTTTTACTTCAAGGCACTTCAACAAGATGCTTTCACTACATACAAGCTATTGATACGAGAAAGAAAGAAAAAACAAGGAAAACTACTGATAGTCTAAATCTGTAGGCTTCTCTGATTACAAGCATTTACACAATAAGCCCATAAATTGTAACACCATCAGTCTCTCAAACAGGACAGAACTGACAAGACAGTGTTTTCACTGACAAAGCCACTTCCCTGATCCACACTAGGTTTCACAGAGCACTTCGATTGTTGTCTGTAATGGAAGCCTTCAGTTAAAAAAACACACAAAAAAAAATCTGCTTTTCAAGATTCAAAAGATTATAAACTGCCAACAGAAATAATGGAAAGACAGGTTTTGTCAGTTGATACGTAGAGAACAGTTGTGTAAAAGACAGCTCACTGCTTTAAGATGAACAATACAAAGAGCAGGCTAAATATAAGATGTGCCACATCTTTAAGTGCTTTTGTGCATGATATGAAAAACAAGTGGATGTGGTTTGCTTTTCTGCTTTTGGTGGAGTTCAGCAGAAGAAAACAGAATATAAGACTGTGAAAAGAGTGTGTTAAAATAATAAGAGATGGGCACGTGCATCGCTCAAGGACTGTGGTTTAACTGCTATTCAAAAGGCAGCGAGGCTTCCTGGCATGCCCACATGGTGGTAAATCAGAGGCTTCCCGTGGAGCTGCCAGCACAGGACGCAGCAGCACTCCAGAACACAAATACAGCACAGGATCAGGGGTGGAGAGGACACCCTGTCACAGATGCCACAGCTCTGAGCCAACCCAACCCCACCACTGACTGCGCTGACCAGGGCACTGCGCTCACACCAAGGCACAAGGAACTGGGGCCTCACTGCTGACAGATGTTACAGGTGATCTGGAGAGAAAGGTACACAGCAAAAAGTTTAAGGTCAAAGGTATTGAATGAGCAGTTTAGAGAAGGGCTAAAGGAGCACAAGGATGTCATCCCTGCTAAATTTCTGAGAAATAACAATGTACGTACTCTGGAAAAAAAAAAAAAAAGGGTGTAGTGGTGTGTGGAAAGAACAAAATCAAAAGCTTTCTCAAAGGCACTCAAAGACTGGAAATGAAGGGGACACTGGTCACTTATCTAAGAGATCATTCTGGCTACACCCAAGGCCCACCAGATTTGGAACAACCTGCTGCTATTTTCACTGATCTCGCCTGTCACTACACACCTCAACAAGAACCTGCCTTCAAACCAATTAACCCATTTTCCCAAGCCTTGTTGTATTACTTCAATGCTTTCACAAAGTAACTACCAACTACTACCTTCCTAATTTGAGATGTTCTAGGCCCCCAGAGGTTTTATTATTTTTGTATTTTATTGTATTAGGTGCTTTTAAACAGCTTTTCTGAAAGTGCAGAATTCAAGCTGTTATTGGTCGAACACAAATTTCACTTCTACACTGGTAATTGCAGTTTTTTCTTCAGAAAAAAACAGTTAATATAGACAAAGTATAATGACCTTTCCTCTTATTTTCCAATCAAAAAACTGCTCAGAAAAGCTCAGCAGAAATTACACATTCAGGTTTGGGAAGCACGATGACATTAAAGAACTGTGCATATTCTCTGGAAGGATGCGGAAGTTTTCTGTCAGCCTGTCATCCAACCACTTTAACATGCTTTGGATCATTTTTCTGGGCACAGTTATAGCTTCTCACCACTGTACTGCCACTATGATTTACATCCATAAAATCTGGCAGGAGCTACAAAAAAAACACAACAAAAACCAGCAATTGAATCTCTAGCTGGAAGGCACTCATTTACAAAATCTGTAACGACTCGAAGTCTAGCTGTTAAAACTTTAAAGAAAAATGAAAATTAAGATTTAATCAAAGAAATAGATTCAAGAAAGCTCAGCAACATGAAGAAAGGATACAGGAGAGAAGGACGGCCGAGGAAAATGACAGGCACAATTCACACTGAATTGTTACCATTAGAATAGAATTATTATTACAGAAGAGTATTGTCCTACATTACCTTTTTTTCTGAGCATGTGTCATCATCCACCTCCATCAAAAATATGATCCCCTTTGGATGCCAACAAATACACATGAAATTAAACAATCTCAGTACCAGAAATTACTTAGGATTATGAAAAATGAGGCCATGGCATAATTGCCAAACAATTCATTAAAGAGTATTAAAGCACTTAAGTAGGAATTAATATATTTTTAAAGAACCAATTTGTGTTTTTATCAGAAGAATGCTGAAGCACAAACTGACAACTGTGACAAATGTTTCAAAGAATGAACACGCTCTCGATATTCTTTAGGCTATAAAAAAATTAATACATCTATGGGTTAAAAAGCAGCAAATCGTTGTTGTGAATCAAAGCAGTTCAAAAAAACATTATGGGTAGGAAATTATTGAATTGGTATCCTGAAATCCTGTGGTAGGACAAGTGTTTGTGTAAACTATGGGGAAACCAGAGAGGGGCAGATTTTAAAGAGGCAGTTTTTCAGTTATACAGAGATGAGAGGATATGGGGATTTACGAGCTCTGAGAAGCTACAGGAATCAGCAGCACACCAACCAAAGGAGAAAAAACCCCAAACAAACAAACAACAGCAATCACTAACTTCTTACATATTGTCTTTGGTTGTTTAATATCAAGAAATACTTTTTACAGAATATGTGAAGACTATTCCTTTGAAATTCATTCTGTGTCAGTACCTTCTCTGTGGCCTCTCTGCTAAACCAGAGGAGAGGCTTTACTTTCTCTGAATTGCTTGCTGTTTTCTACATTTTATCACATCTCTCTTCAAAACCCAAATTTCTTTCATTTACAGGCTTTTGTACCAAAATGGTATAACTAGAACAGACTTTACATTGTATAGTGAAGGTACTTTTCTTGCATTATAAACTTAGACCTACTAAAACAATTTTCCACAAGATGCTATTGAACTTACAGCAGGATTTAGAGACAGGAATGAACATTTGCAATAATAATAACTTAAAAAAAGAGAAAAAAAAAGCAACCCAAACCATACAAACTTACATTAGCAAGGATTAGAATTATTATCTCGAAGATTCTAAAATTACTGCTTTAAAAAGTCTTGTATCAGAAAGGAGTTTTCAACACCCAGCCAGAGGTGCTCAGTAGTTGAAGACAAGGGAATGGGGAAGAGATGTTTAGGGTTTTCCCCTCATTTCCTTGCTGTCTTGCCAATTAAGCTCAGAATGTTTCCCAGGTGTATGATAAATTTAAGGGATGGAAAGTCACATACACGTTTAGTGGTATTTCAACTGGACTCTGTACAGCATCTCCAATGTCTGAATCAAAAGCATTCTGAGTAATGTCAGATAAAAGTTAATAGGAAAAAGAAACCAACAGAAAGGCTATTGATACACCTTTAAAAAATGTAACACAAAAATAATTAACCACTGATTTCTTGGCATGTAAAAGTTCTATACAAATTTTAAAAATTTTATTTGCAGGTACTAACCTCTTGAAAAGCTCACTCTGTATTTACACTAATTCTTTTAACAAGTTTATCTCAAATTAAAGCATATTTAAAACAATCATGATTGCATTAACTTTTCTGCTTTAAATTATTACCCAATTAGTGCTTTATTCACATTTTAAAAACTTGTACAATTTATTACAAATATAAAACAGTGCAGTTTTTCATACATTATCCCAACTCTGAGACAAACACTTAAAAGACATGGAAAAAGATTTTGATTTCTATAAACATAACATTTGCATTACTCATACCCCTTTCTTCACTGTCCTCCCGTAACCCCGATTTAAAAAGATCAAACATACAACATACTGTAGGTTTATTTTTATTCAAAAAGTTACTGTCTCAAGACATAAATACAAATCAGAAAACAGTACAATTAGGACAATAGAATGTGGAGGACAACAGGTTAAGGTAAATATATAAAACATTTTTAGCTGGTTGAAAACAAAGCTGTAAGAACTGCTTTCACAAAGAAACACTCCTTCAAGAGTAAGAAAAATCAACTTAGGTTTAAAATCATATATACAGTCCTCTCAGCAGTTCTATTAAATGCAGTGGTGTGAAAAACAATATAGGCAGTACTTTTAGACATGAGAATATTTATTTATGTAAAATGAGTTAGGCAGATCTAGTTTTGAGTTTGTTGTTACCCCATGACTTAGTAAAATAATTATATTTTATCATGATCCTTTAGATAATCTATGGTTTTTGGCTACCACAGCCGAATGTTTAATTTCTGAGTCTAAAAACAGGAAGCCTTTTTGTATTCACCCATTTGGGGAGATTCTTGTATTGCAAGCGTATTAAGGCATGGAATGATTAAAATAATATACCTCAAGAACTGAGAGACAACTGACAAAAAATATACATATGTAATATAAGTTAATATTTCCTTTAAAATGATGTCTAGCTGCCTAAGCCTTGCAAAATGAGTCGATGTCAAAATGGCATAAATCCACTTTCTGTTTTAGACCAAATTTAATTTATTTGTGAATGGACACAAAACGAAGTTTAAAGCTTAGCTTTCAAAGAATATTATGGGTTGTTTATGAATTTCTATTATCCAATCTAATTTACATACAGAGGAAATGTACTGTAACCTGTTAGAAGTATCTTTAACCTGAAGACTGCTTGCAAAGACAGATAGATAAAACAATATAAAATACAAATTTAAAAATCATTTTTAAAGCATGAATTCTCATGCTCTTCTATTTTTAAACATTGTTAAACTTTCAATATATTTCTGAAACCTCATAATTTTAAGTTGGAATTTAAAAGTAAGAAAAAACTAAACAAACTGCGCAATTATAAAATCAGCACCAATTTATATATATATATAATTTTATTTAAAATTTAGATCCCTATTCCCACACTCTAATAAGCTGTATAATTTTTGTTTAGAATTTTTCTGCAAACATACTACAATAAGCTTCTTTTATTTGGAGACAAAATACAGTGGCACTACTGGAAGGAATTTCACAACATTACATTTTTCTTAAAGGACAAGCAAACTTTCAGGGTTGGTAATGGGCAAGCATGAGTGAGATCTGTTACGTTCTGGTAGCTCATAGTTTATGGACCTTTCTGAGAAGGCTAACATGAAGCTTTTGGAATAAAAGTGTGTTTTAGATTAAAAAGCTGTTAAAGTTCTGCTTTATGTACTTTTTTTTCCATGATTAATTAATACAAACCTTCTGTTGCTGAAGTTTGCATTTAATTGAAAATACTGACAACTCTTCTGGTTCTATCACTGTAAGAAAACCAATCCATCTACTATTTCAGTTCATGGATGTGAACAGCAATCCAGCAGAGTTTATGATTATTTAGTACAGCCAGCAAATGTATAGAGAGGGGCTCAAATCTGTACCAAACACCTCTCAGACTGTTAGAATAAAACTCAGAGGGAATACTTCTTATGATCCGGAAATAAACTGATAGCACATAAATAAAATATTGATTTGTTTTCCCAACAAAAAGTGTAGCTTATCCTCAAATTGTTTACTTGTCCTTTACATTTCTTTTTTTTTTTTTCAGGCAAACAAAACTGCCCCTTCAATGCACTTGATCTTGAAAGCATGTCATTCTCCTTAGAGAAAAATCTGTTCAGAATTTCACTGTATCTACCACAATTTTGTATTGAAAAACTTCCTCTTCCACTTAGAAAATGACTTCACCACTGATTTATTTGCTGTTCTGGTATTAAAACATTGACACCCCAAGAACCTAAAAAAAAAGTTAGAAATGGTGTCAATTTTTAGTCTACTACACATTTAACAAAAAACAAAGAAATTAGTATATGTTTTAAGATTAAGACACTTCAAGATACGTTAAGGCATTATAAGTTTATTTTTCTTCCAAACCAGATTCACCACACTTCTGATTTAGGTAATGATACGAAAAGGGCTCCTCATTAGTTAGAAATATTTATCTCACACTTCAAATTCATTAGATCCAGTAGAAATATGACAAAGCCTGTGTTTTAATTATTTTAGGTAATAATTGCGAAAGAATTTTTAGTTAGTTGCCTAACTCAGACTTCTTTGACAATGACATTCTGTTGGCCTGAACCTGAAATCAAGTGTGTCATTTCCAGCAACTAAACCTGGGACAAAACACCCCATGCACCAGTTGCTGCTGCATCTGTGACCATGGAAACCACAGGTCACCTCACAGCAGCCAACCAGGACACAAACTGAACCCTTCCTATGAAATGTAGCCACTCTGTCAGGAAGACAGTGGAAAAAAACCCAAACAATCATCAGGTAAAAAAAATCAAACAACTGTCCTTTGGGTCTGTGTGACTAAGGAAAGAAAAAGCTTTCCTGAAACAAAGAATCAGTTTCCACTTCCCTCGTGAAAGCAAGTGGGTATCACCACTGATATGCCCAAAAAAAAAACCCAACCAGAAGATCCAGATTTTGTGACTGTCCTAGCTTTTACAGGACTTTATAAAATCAGAAAGAGCCACTAGGGACTTAATTTTCCTGAATCTTAACACTGCTGTTCACTTTTATCTGTTTACAAACCAGTTTTTACTGTTTTTTTTCAATTAAATTCACTTTAGATGCATCATACAATGTAGCACACAGACAGAGCTGCCTCTGGTGCCGGCAATAACCAGGCACATCAAAACATGAGCAGATAGGCTAAAATTTTCATCATATACCACATGCATCTCAAAAAATTAAACTGCTTTATTACGCCTCGGTCTATTAAAAACAAGTGCAGCAACTCTGAGAACAGCGGACCTCTGAAATAACCTATGAGAATAAAGCAAATTAACTTTATTCTGAGAAGATTTTCTTTATTTTTCTCCTGCATTTCCCAAATTGGCTCTTTCCCGTCGAGCACGGAGGGGCTCCGGGCGCTGCGCTGCCCTCGGCTGCCCTCGCGCGGCCGCGCCCGGGAAACGCAGCCAGGGCCGGGAACCTCGCGGGCACTAAACCTGTTAGAGCGGCTCTTACAGAACTGAGAAGCTAAAAGCTTCCTGAAAGCAACGAAATGTACCTGTAGAAAGCCGAATATTCAGCACTGTCAGGCTAAAAAATGACTGACAATTATTTCACAAATCAACCCAGGAAAAAAATGGAGAAGAGGAAGGGAAGAACTATTTTAAATCAGAACAAGTGAGATACTTTCTTGGTGTTACTTGAGGAACAGAACACACGACAGCCAGACACACGACCTAACTGATTCATTATTACTGAAGCAAAGGCCTACTGGTACAAAATATATGGATTTGCATTTAAAACAGTATTTAGGACTTCTTTCTCCCATAAACAAGAACATGTTCACGCTGCAACAATACTGTAAAAAAAATACATAACCGTCTTCCAAATTCCACCAAGCTGTCCAAGATTCCCAGGAAGCATTGTTGTACTGTCCTCTGCTGGCTTGCTGCAGCTTGTTATTTCCAGTGTAATTTTGTACCAGCTACACAAGGTCAAAAATGGCTGCATACATTACAAGTGGTTCAAGACAGAAGGAATCCCTCATGCAGATTTTTAAAAGAGAATAGAGACTGCAGATTTATCAAGTCGGATAAAAGGGCAACTGCAAGCAGAAACTACAGACTTCGGATGTTTTGGACCTAAAACTTTATATGGAAAGAAAAAATACCTCTCATCTCTATAAACAGGTATCTGTATTATCTCCATTTTCTTCATTATCTTACTTATGCACAAAAGTAAATATGCCAATTAAAAAATATGGAAGAGTTAAAAAAAAAAAGAAAGAAACCCAACCGAAAAACCCACAAAACTCAAACCATCCAATGCTGACAACTGGTAATGACAACAGAGTCACTGAACTAAGCTCAGCACAACAGGAAATTTGCCTTTTATATTGTGTGTGCACAATTTTTTATTTTTATTTTTTTTAACTCTCTTTGCTATCAACCTCTGCGAGGGTCTTTTCCATACCAGATTTGTTTTCTCCTCAGACTCAAAGGCTTTTAGTTTTTACATAGCTACACATAAATATTAAGAACAAAAATCCTATAAACTTGCAAAGAACACTGACTACCTTAGAATTTATGAAGCTGAATTACAGCATAAAATATTTCTCCGACTGTACCAGTCTGCCAAAATAAGCTAATGAAGACAACCTGAAGATTAAATTCTTTCCACTTAAAATCTGAAGTAAGAGAGTATGGTAACCTTAAGACTGAGTTTACATTACTTTCCCTTACATAAGTTAACCTACCGATTCATCCATGATTGAAGCGGGGTCAAAGAAATCTGGTTTTAGTTCCGTTCTTTCTCTCCTGTTCTTTGATGGTGGCTTTAGAAAGCAAACAAAAAAACAGGTTAACTGTAATTTCACAAGAAAACCAGAGGTTTTACAGTGTAGTAAGAATTACTGACAGCAGCACAGAGCTCTTTAGCACAGCTCTCTTTAACGACGCAGAGAGCAACAAGAAGGATTTTTCTGTTTCCCCAGAAGGAAAATGTGATTCAAATATCTTACTTTAAAAGCAGAAATACAAATCCCAAGTCCACTAAAACCATAACTAAATCTCTTACTAGGTCTATGTCCATGGTGTCGAAATCCATGCCTTCATTAAGATCTTCGATCCGCCCTTCTGATGACATCATCACATCTTCAACAATTGGCTCCTCATCATCTTCCATTAGACTTGTGCCACGTCGACTGAAATGAAAAGAAAAACATTCTGTGTAGCACTAAATCAAGTTAAGTTTTATCTGAATATTTAAAAGGCTAATACTCAATAAGGAACTGCCAACAAATGATCATTTCTCTTCTATCTAATGGAATTAAGTAATTTAAAAAAATGCACAACTACTATTAAAGAAAGCTGGCATTTAACCAGCTAGAAGATACTAATAAGAGTGTGGGGGAATGGCTAACAAAGATAACTGAAGTGTGGTACATTGCTAAATGGGGATTCTGAGAGAATTGTTTCTGTGAGAATTGATAAGCAGATCTAAACCACACCTAATTTTGCACTTAATGCTCAAGTGAAAAATAACCTAAGTTTTACCACTTAAAATTTTTTCTGGCTTATGATAAGGCAAGGAAAAATGTGTTTGCAATAAAGTAGATGTGTAAAACCATTACAATATTCCCCCACAATCCTTCATCCTCTTTTCTCACAACTTCTACACACAACATCAGACCTTATGAGAAAAGTAAGGAGTCATTCTAATTTCACTAATTGCTGTCACTGTATTAAAGAAGCCACCACTGAAATTATGTTACATGAAGTACTGGTAACAGAATAATTAAAAGTAATTAGGGGAAAGATGTAAAGCTCCTCAATATATATGCCCATGGTTTTAGGGATTTTTTCTGTAGATCCACATAGTCCTTAGGAAAGCAGAGAACTTCTAAACCTAGTCTTCCCCCCTCAGCTAAACAAGTTCCGGAACATACTTTTATTAACATGCTTGTCAAAATGCACATGTGATGACTCATAATGAAGTAAGTGACACTCCAGTAAGAACGTATGACCTCTGAAGGACAACACTTGTTTAAAAACATTAGATTGTGTTCATCTTCATCCACAATATGGAGGACTTTGGAAGTGTTTTGTGTGTTTGTGTTGGCAAGTTCTACAAAAACTGATACTATAGGTCTCCTCTCAACTTTGGTTCAGTTTAGGTGAGACAAAGTCTGTACCAATTACAGAAATGCTGAAGACAGCAGCTTCTTTTAAAGGAATACTTGTACATTAAAAAGCAACAGAAATAGCAGATTAAGCTGATCAGAAACTTTCTGCTCCACATGCTGAACACCTATTTAAAAACTTGTTTGTAGTGTTCCATTTCTAAATATGACTCTGGAGTTAAGAACATATAAAGATGATGTTTCACATGTATTGATTGCATCTATCTGCTACAGATAACACTGCTCAACAACCAGTTCCCTTTATTACAAGGCTCACTACTATTCAATTTTTCTGGAATTTAAGTTCAAAAATAAGCAAGAAATACCACCTTCATTTACCACTGCTTTTCTAAGGCAACTTAAAATTTCAGGACACAGAAAAAAACTAGTCAAGAACTAGAACATGGATCCCTCTTAAAAGACACAGGTGTAACATTGCATTTAAACCCTCCCCAAACCACTGAAGGAACATTTCACTCTCACTCACATGGCGTGTTGCAAGTTGCTTCTCAGCTTGACGTAGTTCATCGCTGCCCTCTCCTGTTGTTGTCGCGCGGCTTCTTCCTGTTGCCTTTGAGCCAACATCCACGTTACTTGCGTGCTTAAAAAGACCATTATTCTATTTTAAACATGTACTGGTTTTGTGTATGAACACTAACACAAAGCAGACCTACTCATCTACGTACTTGTAATCGAGGGGAGCTTGGTGGTGCTCGGGCTGCATAGGATAGACCCCCATGTAATTCTCGTCAGGTCGCAATCGCTTGGGCTCCCTCATTATTGTGGAAGTCAGCTGAGGTGTCTGCATCATGACTGGTGTGTGCATCGACTGCTCCCTGTTCAGCCACATACTGTCACTACTGCTGCTTTCTTCAGCTGGAGGGAAATGCAGTAGAACATCAGTAAAGTTTTTTTCAAGCTACTCTAAAACTGAATGTTTATACACAGGTTACATGCATGTCCTTTCTGCTTACTGAGAATACTTTTTACCACGAAGTTTTACTTGTGCCTCAAAAGGCCTGGATTTATAATCACTGGCTGTAGTATTTAATATACTTTTCTATTCTGTGACTTAACACAGTGTAGTGCCCTTATTTCCTCTTGTGAATCAAGTGTTATTTTATTCAGACTCTTCACATGAACAGTTTTCCCACTACGACACAGACATGTACAGAAGTTATCCTGTTTTTAAAAAAATACATTAGAACATTCCAATACACTTATGCTAACAAACAGAGAACAACATGTATACTTTATATGAACATCTACTCTAGTAAATTTTAAGATGAGAAAAGTTCTACCTTCAGGTACTTTCCGCTTGCCTGTTGCTGGTTTTGTCTTCTTATTTCTTACTGTAGATCCTCGACTACTAATACCACTAATCACTGACATAGTATCATCATCCCCACCAGCTAGTAAAGAGTTTCTGTAGGACATGAGAGGAAGCCACACATCTTCTCTTCGTAGAGACATCTGAAAGGTCATGAACTTCTCCAAGTAAACATACCTTTAAAAGAAAAACATAATTACCAAGATGCAAAATATCTGTAACAAGATGTTAACACATCAATATAGTTAACTACTAAAATTAACACCCAGAGCTCCTCATCTAGTTAACAAAAAGGCCTGACAACAGCAAATCCACAATATGACTTCTGTTCATCCACCATAAAATGAAAACAACAAGGACAAAAACAATTTACCCTCTGTGATCATATTTGATTCCACCTGAGGTGAATACAATACACATAAATATTTATTCTGATGCATGCCTTTTGTGGTTATCATTATAAATATCAAGAATACTTTAAAAATACTTACACTGTTCTTTTGTCTTGTCTGAGAAGTTTGGAGGAGAACTCACTCAGGATATCAAGAAATGCCAAATTTAATGGTGGGTGGCTCTCACCTTGTGGATTAGGCTCCTTAAAAGCAAATTCTATGCCATCCCTAAGAAAAAGTTAAAAATTAAGTCACAAAAAGCACAAACAATAGAAAAAGTTCTAAGCACTGTGAGCTATAAAAACTGAACCCCTCTCGTTCATGTTATTAAAGCAATAATTTGTTGTTTCCATATTCTGTCCAAAAAAGTGAACAGTGAGTCTGGACACACTCTTTCTGTCATGCTACTTCTACTCTGCATTGCAAGTTTTCTGCACGACACCAACATAACCACCACTGACAGTGAAGTGGATCTGTTCTTACTGTTGTGGGTAAGACATTAAAAATACTTTTTCATTATAGCATCAACACTGCTATCATTTACAGGCTTAAACAATGATGCTGGAGAACACCAACAATATTTAACACTCGGGTTTTACTCACAAACAAAACTACAGTCATCTCAGTTAATAAATGGGCTGTATCATCTCTAGAGCTGATGTGTTTTGTACTAATAAACTCATTTTGAAAGACTGAACAGATAGTTTTCTGTTGTGTTTACAAAAATGGAAGTAATACAAAGCACACAATTACTTGTGTAACATAGCAATAGCTTCTCTTGTTTTCAACTGATCCAATCCAAACGTTAAAGCAAAACGTCGAGCAAGTTCCTTTATGCCACTGAATGTCGGTGAAGATCTGTCGAAATTATAACCATTTTCTTGAATCATTTCATTGAAAAGCTGTATGAAATGAGAAGGGAAATTCATGTATTTAAAGATTATGCCAAACTTTGGAGCAATACACACAGAGTTAAGCTGCAGTAAAAAACTATGTTTTACAGCTTCCCCCCCTTAATTTCATAAGATCAAGAGACAAACATGGAAGTTTAGGACAACTAAGTCAAGGCTATGCTTGAGAAGTTTGCACTTCAGAGTTAAACCTTGAAATGCACACTGTCCAAGCACACAGGTCTCCACACAAGCAAGCTCATTTACTGAAGAGAGCATTCAATCATGTTTTAATACCGAGTATGTGTGAAGCCCCTACCAAACACTGATATTGAATTACTAACACTTCCCATTAATTCTCAGGTTAAAAAAAACAAACCCAAAACCAGAAAAACACATCAAAGCAAAGCAAAATAAAACAAATCCCCCACAAGAAACCCCCCAATCCCCCACCACACAGGCAGGAAGTGTTTTCCCTTGGTTATCTGTTCACAAATAAGTAAACTGTTAGTTAAACTATTGTTTTAGACTTACGAAGGTGTCACAGTTATTAATTTTGTATTTATTGGCCTCTCACATACACTTTTCATAGCATAAGAATACTTCCACAGTCTTTCAAAGAGTTGTAGAAAATGTGTTTCAGTTTAGACCTATTTATTGCCACCTTCCATAAGAATTCCTTCATCAATACCTCACACTAGTTATTAAACAGGACGTGATCTACAGTGTGGAATTCATGCATAAAAATATTGTAAATTCTTACCTGCTGCAAACTAAGAATAAGTGTCTTAGCACACTGGATTTTGTCTATCTGTCTTGTTTTACTCATTGTTTCTTTAATAATATCACCATAGTCATTGTAATACTACAAAAAACAACAAAAGAAAAACATTAGGTTTCAATATTAGCTGAAAACATTACAACTACTGAATTCTTCTGAAAATAAAATCTAAGATCTGCTATAAAAAAAAATTGAACACTTCATTCTTGTTGTTCATATTACTTTAGAGGCAGAATGACCTATTTATCTTCAAGGCCATGACACATTTGTTAATGACACGTGCTCACCCCTTCAGGGTACAAGATTAGAATCTAATCTTTTTAGTAACTCCTGTAACTCTGGTGGGGAGTTTTCTATTTTCTCTGCTGAAAGGAGGCACCTACAGACAGCATCACAGCTGAAATTTTTCCAGTGAAGACAGTTGCCCGTTCAGTTCTTTAAGTATTTCAGGTTTAATAAAGATCCAATTAGTTATTTAGAGATTCAAAATATATGTAGGGCACTCAGACAGATAACAGCAGGCTGCCCAAATTTTAAATTTTTTAAGGTAATCACCAAGGAGCAAAGCTTTATCATGTTCACAGAATGAGAACTCATACTATTGCGCAGCTGTGAATCCCAGGAGCCAAAAGGGGTTTTTATATTTAAGAAAAATTGAAATAGATCTAAAGGTAACATGGGGAGAGTGGGACTCAAAACTTGTTTCTCTTCTACAAAGTTTAAACTGAAATTATTTGATTATTTTATTAGACATTAGAGAGGATCTCTGGGAGAAGATTCTCAAAAGGCCTGCTAAACTAATAACTGATTTAAAAATACACCATCAATCAGGATAAGAAAATAAATCTATTAAAAACAACATAAAAAATAATGAGCGAGTTTCTTTCCTCCCTCCCTACCACCCACACACTGGAACTGTGAAACTTATCTCAGTCATTTTTATCCCTGCATACAGAAAAAGAACTTTTAAGGGCCTACAACTCTGGAGTTTTGAATTCTTCACATTTTGAATCAGTTATCTTGTAAGGTAAAAATTAAATAATAATTTTAAAATCCACAGCTACTGTATTCTAGTAGTTTTATGAAGGATCACTAAGCTTCAGATTTACCTTCATATATTGCTTGAAAATGTCTGCAGCTGTGTTCATTTCCACCACAGTATATACAATGAGCTTACAGAAAGCTGCAAGTAGATTTCTTCTTTTGTGCAATGCTTCAATTTTGCTTGCTTCATCATCCTGCTGTCCATCTGGAAGAGTTCAGAACATGACAACTGTCAGGTTTAAAGGCTTCATATTTAAGCATTTAAAGATAAAAGTGATATGGCTAGTGGTCAGGATTCAGAAAATCAGATCTCAATTCTAGTGGCAGCGCACTTCATTGTGCACTGTCAAGTCTCTTCCCCGATATCATTGTGCCTATTAAACCAAACCTTTACTCTGATTATCCCACATGTTCCCAAACCAGCAAATGCTTTGGTCAGCTGCCGACATTTAAAAGCCAAACCTACCCCTGTGCCCATGCACAACCCTAAGTGACAAAAAAACCCCACACCAAAACACCACAAAACCCCACCAAAACCCAGAAATGCACAGGCAAATATATATTAATTAGAAGGTAAATAATGTAAAGGGAACCTAAGTTTTGTACAAACCTGCACTATTATTATCGTCATCCTGATCAATGAAGACATGATCTAAAATAAAACTGAGTAGTTCAGACTGCAATGAAGAATCAGGAGTGTAAACAAGTGGCTCCAACATGTCACGTCCTCCTGTCATAATCTGATGACTGAAGATCATCAACACATCACACAGAATTGTGAAAGCCTGTTAAAAAGAAACCTTAGTAAATACTTGCTTGGAACGTGGATTTTATTTAGAATAATGTATTTGCACTTGACAAAATACTTAGAGCCCAGCAATGTACACAGGCAATGAAGTTCTGAACAACTACAGAGGCCAACTGGAAGTCAAAATGTGCATAGCTTCTTGCAGCAGGTTCCTCTGTCAAGACTGGGTCTCCAAATAAAAATACTGCACAGATGAAGCCAACTAAATATGAAAACATTGCGAGATTAAAACATGAGGAGCCTGAAACTCCAGAATTCTGCCTGATGGATACTACATTAGGTCACTAGGGACACCAACCATAACAGTCTCCTTTTTGCTTTCTTTTTTTAAAATTGTTTTGATCACATTTGTAGAACATCTAATAGCTGAGGTCATTCAACCCCTTTAAATCATAATGTCTTATTTCCAAAAGTCCAACCACCTCTTTGTTTTGCTGGCTAACTTGTGTATCTGATGTCAGACTTAAATATCTGTACTCCACCTTCCTGGAAAGTTCAAATGTCTCAGTATCTGACACAGACTGACAGACACTCTTCAAACTAAACAGACCAAGGCAACTCTAATCTCTCAAGTACTTCCATGAACAGATCTGTTCTCTAACTCCTCAAAGTGAATATTACTAATTTGCCCCTTCATGACATTAGAGAAGAAAAGTGGAACCAAGGCTACTGTACCCTATGTGACAGGTACCCTGTGTAACTGGGTAGTTCTAGTTTCTAGAGCATTCACCAGACTGAGAGTTACACAGCTTTTTAAAGAGACCTACTCATAGCCTCAGTAATTTTTGTTACTTAGACTTTCACACCCTACACCTTGTGACTATTATACCAGATAGCTCTTTGACACAGAACATGCCTATTAAGTTTCAGGGATATTCTTGTTCTAGCAAGAGTTTCAAAAGCTGCAATTGTGAGACTCAGTGGACCAGATTTTCAACTTCAACCAGGTTATTATTATCTTTAGAAGCAAAGAGGCTCCTGGCTTTCCATTTGTTTAATTAAACCGTCTACCTAGAAGATAATTTGGTCCTTCCCCTACAGAGAGATACTGCCCTTTTTTTTTTCATCTTAGCATTCTCAAGATTGTTAAAGGCATTTACTTAGAATTAACCCTGATATCAGTAACCTGTTCTCTTCACTGGGACCTCAAACTCCTATGAGTGAAATGACCAAAGAACTATTTGACCACAGACTGGAAGAGACTCAGCCCCTTAAAGTATTTAACCTTTTCCTTTGACCCTGTTATCCTCAGAACAAGTGTTCCTCAATATGATGTCTCAATTCTTTTTGAAACACAACAAAAAAAAATACAGAGCAACCCCCAAAAACTTCATGTCAGCATTTCTGGGAGACGAGAGGGAGAGAGGGAGAGAGGGAGAGAGGGAGAGAGGGAGAGAGGGAGAGAGGGAGAGAGGGAGAGAGGGAGAGAGGGAGAGAGGGAGAGAGGGAGAGAGGGAGAGAGGGAGAGAGGGAGAGAGGGAGAGAGTTTTAGTGGTTCTTCAGTGGATAAGCACACAAATATAATTGTAAAAATGTGGGAATGTAAAAGCATTCAAAGACAGAACTAAAAAAATAACTTCTCTCAAATTGCTGTCCTTAACTCTACCAGTTTTGAGCCTGTGAACCCACAGTCAGCTCCCCAGGAGATGTGTGGGCATGAGCACACGGTAAGCAAGAGGTTTGAAATGGAACTCTTTCACTTGAACTTAGAAACCAGAAGGTTTCTACAGTGCACCTGCATAGCCATTATTTAAAGAAACAAAAAGCCCTTTGGAATAAAAGTTTTTGCTGCCTAAAATTACCAGAAAGAATCAAGTTTAAATTGATTCTCAAATCCTACCTACATTACCTAAGGAGGGCAAAGCATACAAGTATAGTGTGAATTCACACTCCAAGGGCCTTCAGCCTGAACATGCAGGACACACCACATTCCCACATAAGCACCAAAAATATCAGCAATTGCTTTAAAAGTATAATATTAGAAGACTACCAGTATAAACAACAGTCACTAACCTGTTCCTTAACAGCAGTGTTTACATTGGTCAGGTAGTGTTGACAGATTTGACAGAACACTCTCATCTGCTTCTTCAGACGTAGAAGATCCTCCTTCAAAGAGAATGATTTCATGTAACAGTTTTACTTTTTTGATTTTACAGTCACATTCAGTGCATGAATTTTCACAGAGTATTCCACCACAGACCTCTTGTGTAGTGGTAACATTCAAGTCTAGTGCATTATTCAAAAATCACTATTACAAAAAAAAAATAGCAAGTAGCAATTTCCTCACTTTGGTCATCCTGTGTGGTGCAAAACAAAATGGCAGTTGGGATGAAAACCACAAAGTTATTTACTAAAAAAGTAGTAACAAAAACCCTTCAAAATCAAACCAAAAAAAACCAAACACCTGCCCCCACCAAAAAATATTCCAGAGCATAAAGCATTTTCTCTTTAAAATATCTGTATTTTCAACCTAGAGGACAGATTTTAGGCAGCTGTTTATAACTAAAAAAGACCAGGCTACATGGTATTATTTTATTTTTTTAACTCACTGCTTGGGGATAAAGTAGAATATCAGATGAGAGTTGGTGTTTTCTTCCCCCACTTTCATTGGAAAACAAAACTTCCCAAAAAGCACATTTCTGAGCAAATAAAGTATAAAATTGGTAGAAGTCCCACCCACACGTGTGACACAGTTGGTGTTACTCAATCACGTGAAGATTCTAGGCCCTGCAGAACTGGGGAAGTGATAATACAAAACACCAGCTGTGTAACCAGCATCAGCCCAGACAAAGATGAAATACCCCTGAAAGAAGTTTAAAAACTCTCCCTGCAATCTAAACTGAAACAAGGCTCTTCCTTCAAGAAAGCAGATACAGCATATGATTTAATCTTAACAGGAATCATAAAAGCAACAGCTGCTTCTTGACAGGAATCTAAGTATAAAATTATTTTAGAACACCTTTACTACAAAAAAACTTTTGTCTCAGATTACTACGCTGTTGTTAAGAGAATTACACATGGGACTATTTTCTTTCTTTCATACAGAATTATTTATTTACATTTTTATTAAAATTGAACTATTTATATAGTCTTAAATTTAGCAGCCTGTATAGTATGAAGCTAATTCCCATACTTAGTCAACCTGTTCACAACAGCACACAGTTAACAGTTAATATTGTCAGAGAACAAAAAACCCCCCAACCAACCAACCAAAAAAACAAATAAACCAATCAACCAAGTAAATCTTTAAGCACAGTACATTTCTGTCACTTCTGGTTCTCTGTCTATTTTTTGCTGTTATATTCCACTGTCAGAAGTCAATGAAACTTCTGTAGGTACCTGATATATTTGGCAGCAGTCAAGTAATTAAATAAAACAAAATAGTTGTAGTTCAGAAGCTAAACCTAAAAGTTTTAATTTACAAAAATTTATTATGTAGGAGGAGAAAAAAGTCTTAATAAAGGACAAGTTTTCAAAATTATTTTCATTCCTGGTGAAAGTACTGAAAATTACATTTTACTGCAAATCAGCTAAGTTAATCTTTATTTCTAAACTGTAGTGTCAGTGTTTCGCTCAGCTTCTGCCATCAGGCTTGTGATAAAGCTTTAATCACTATTACAGAAACCTCAAGACTGTTTACCCTGCAAAGAATAAGCTAACAAAGCCTCCAAATCTTTCACACACGTAAATGCTTCTCAACAATCTACGTCTCCATATCTGATATTTGGGGTTGGAAACGTGTAAAGCCATTAAAACACAGATGGGTAAACTAGCCAGCCAGTGTTCAAGTTCACATGTAGTTAACACACCTTCAGACTGTAATTACTCACTGGACTAATGAAGTCTCAACATGATAGGGGAAAACCACCATAATCTGGCACAGGTGTTCTCTGTTATAAAATCATTAGTTACAGAGCATGATTTTCCACTCCTGCATCTACCAGGAGCTCAAACTACCACACCCTAAAAGGAAAAAATTTTAAAAGAAAAAATGTATACATCCTCACATTAAAATGGATTATTAATTAATCATATATTATTAATGCCATGAGTTCTCTTTGTTATCTCCCTAGTAAATTGTGGCAGTCACGTACATTAATTACAAGTATGGCAATCAAAGTGTTCAAAAAACCTGAAGAATTCGCTTATCTCCTCTCTGACATAAAGAAAGATGGGTTAACAGTAACTCTAATAACAAAGTGCAACTCCAGCATAAATTTCCAGTAAAAGAGCACTCTGCTTTCAGGACTGTAGAGGGCTTCCAGAAAAAGTCTGTTTGATTATAGATTTTTTTTTTTCAAATTTAAAGAAATCGTCAAAATGTTTCAGCACTTACAAACTCCACCCTAAACCACCTAGCCTTTCAAAAAACTTTTTTTCATGAGGCAGTTCACACAGCCAACCACCTGATCGCCCCCTTCAAGCAATGCTGCCTAGTGGATACAGGAAACCTTAATCCTTCCTCCAAGATTTTTCAAGAAGTGAAATTAGAAAGATGACATTTGCAAGAGCTTTGCCCTTCAAGATTACTATACATAGAACCAGAACAGGCCCTCTCGTCACTCCCTCAGAAAATCTGAAATTAAACTTCATCTTCTTGTGCCTTTATTTAACAACATATTTAAAAGACTGATGAAGAGCAAAGTGGAATTGCAACATACTGAATAATAAGAATACTATGACAGTGTGCAAATTCTTAGATCTCACTGACTTGTCACTGGTAGTTCAGTTTGTAAACAAATTCAAACTCACTACTTGAGAGTAGTAAAACTGACCACACTGTGTTTTATAATTTGCATTCTATCCCTCCTTAGCATTGTTATTATGCCTGATATCATATTTATTTACAATTACTTTAAAATTCTGTCAAATTAAACATAATGTTATCATTCAAATAATATAAACATAACAATTGAGGTAAACACCAGGTTTGTAAGTCAAGCATTTAACTGCTAAACTTATGAATTCGGATGAACTTATTAGAAAGGCAGAATTAGGCAGATACCACTATAAAGAAAATTCTTAGTCTTAATTAATTCCATCACAGTTCTCACTTGATGACACTGCAGCTATGTACAAATGTTTGTTTACTAATACAACAGGAACAAGGCATACCTTTGTGGAACTGCTTTCAGTAACTTTTGCTAGCTGCCAAAGGATTACATAATGAGTGCACTGCAGTGCATGAATAACAATCTGAAATCAAAAGGGGAAAATGCATTAGATGACAAAGGCCAAAAAAAAAGACAGCAACAAAAGCTATTTGTTGTTGTGCCTGAAGAACACATTTTAACTACAGACCTGTTCTGGCATGTCTCCATTTTCAATACCAGTTTTCAATAACTTGTAGTTGCAGCTAAACAAGTCCCATCTTGATAGGTCATGAGCACTGGAAGCATCAGAAATGAAGCAAAATGTAATTTAACTAATACCATTTCTCCAATTTGAGGTTAACAACTACTAAAAGCTTAACTGGCCTAAAAAAAAACACATTAGTGGAATAAAGACCCCAACCATAAATACCTCCCTCCCAACCACCACCAACACAAACAAAAAAAAAGCAAAGCAAAAAACCCCTGTGACATTGCATTGAAAAGAGAGATCAAATTAAAAACAAACAAAAACAATGCTCTACACCATGAACTCCAACAGGTGTGTGCAGAACTTACTTGTGAAAAGCAGTGATTCTCTTCAGTGTTGACAAGACTTGATATGCATCATCTTCATCAGGTTCCTCCCCCTATTTAATAATCACACAGTGAGATATCTCAAACATTCTAAGCGAACCGGGGAGCTTACAAAAACCAAACACAAACTGGAGGGCGTGACGGGGTGGGGATCTGATTCTAAATTATTTATCAATGTCATATTTGCTTTCAGAAGAGTTAGAGAGATAAGGCATCAGTTCAGGTCTAGAGATGGACTCAATGATCATAAAAGGTCTTTTCCAACCTAAATGGTTCTCTGATTCTATAAAATAGCAGCAGAAGGAGAAATAGGGGAGGGGGAAGGGGGGAAAAAAGGGAAGTCTAGGATAGCAGAATACAATGTATAATGTAGGTGCTTCTATTTTCTCTGAAGAATCCAGCAGAGGCCACTGTCAGACAAAAGACACTGGACTAGATGGGCCACAGGTCAGTACTTCAATCTTACTTTAATCACAGAAAAAGGTCTTTGACAGAGGTAAGAGAAGTGGTTTGTTCTAATCTTCCCACAAGTTCTGACAATCTTGCATTTAGTGAAAGAAAAGGAGTAAAAAGGAAAGGGTCCAAAAAGTATCTATTCATACATGGGATAAACTATCTGAGGTCAAGAAACTCCTTCTCAGTTGAGCAGAGATAATGCAAGTTTTACTGTTCTGTAGTTGCACAACCTTGTCAAAGAACTATGGATTTCAACACTTCCACCAGAGTATTTGCCATTTTCCTTCAAGCCAACTGACATCTCATTTCCTTGCTTTACTCTCATTCTTTCTTCTCCTCACAAAGGGAAACAAATGGATAACAATTCTTCTCTAGGGTTTCTAGAGTGGAGTCCTAGTTCAGGACAAAGAGCAAGAAAAGAAAAGGAGCAGAGCCTGATAAACTACATGCACCTAAGAAGTGTGGAGAATGAAGTCGTCAAAAAGACACTTCCTATGCTCCTTACCACCAATGAGGAGGAGAAACAAGTTTTGTCTGAATGTCAGAGATCCCACATAGTGAAGTTAAATACTCCAACAGAAAATTCTCACTTTTCAGATCAGTACAGTGTGGGAACAGTTATTTTTAAGCTACTAACTGCATCTGCTTGCATTCAGGAAGGGAGGGGGAGTGTTTTCTAGAGATTTTGATATTTAACAACAGCAACATACAATCACAGGCAAGACCAGCAACAGTAGTACATCTGAGGAGAATCCTAGTGGAATTACAATACTACAACTCTCAAAAACATAAGTCTCAAAACCTAAGAGTAGAAAGTTTATGTAATTTCATTGTTTATCTGAAACTTATCCCAAATTTCCAAAAGACATTTGTCAAAAGGAGATCAAACATAAGACTACTGCCCTAATATACAAGAATAGCCTGTGTTCACATAATCATAGCAATGATACTGTTGTGTTATTGCACTTGATTCAACAGTTTTAAAAGTCAGACTGAAGCTGCCATCCCTAACTCATTGACTCACAGAGGAAGGCAGAAAAACATACTGGAAATATTTACAAGGGCAGTAAAAGTTGATCTTGCACATTAAAATACCTCTTGCAGGAAGTCCTCAAGAAGTCGATTAAACTTGTCTGCCAATTCATCTATTAACTGACTTCTTGCAATGTCAACCCTGTTAAAGATTGTGAATTCTTCATTACAGAGAGCGTGGTACGTTTTTGAACAGGCTTCCAAAACATCTATATCTGTGTGTTTCTCCACAATATCCCGGATTTGTCGCAGTAAGGCATCCAAATGCTACAAGGAAGATGAGCCATAGGAAAAAAATATGCAGTCATATATATATACACACACAAGACTTTTAATAAACCTCAAGTTTTTACAAGGTAAATTCAATTTATTACTTTTGTAACTACGATACAGAACACAAAACACAGAAAGCCAGTGAAGCTTCTGAGAAATTAAAAGTCTACTTATCAAAAATTAAGTAGGAGCTTGTCAAAGACCCAAGATTCACAGCATTTTAAAAAGTCATTAAAAATTTGCAAGTGTCTGCATGGTTTTATCTAATTTGAATTTCCACTGACAACTGAACAATACAGAAGAATTTACCTCCTACTCACACAAACATTTATACATGGTCTTAAAAGCTGTATAACTGAAGATTTAGTTTCACAGCATTCTAGTGTTGGCACTGGAGCCAACTTCAGTCGTTCTTATGGGCCTCCCCTCAACCTGAGCTGCTCTCTACTGCTCCATCACTGCTGGCTATGCTGTCAACTACACAGTTTATCACTTTTTGACTCTAAGGATTTCCAATTGCTTCACAATGCAATAGCACATCTGAGGAGGAGAAAAGAGAGATGAGAAGAGCTTCACCAACTTCATCATAATAGCACTCACAATGAAAGCAGTAACTACATAATTTGGGATATGGTAGTTTTCCCCTTCTTCACACAATGAAGATGGTGGTTTACTAGTTTCAGTGATCAGAAAAAGAAATAACTTACTAAGCTATTTCTACAAACTTTTATCTGCCAGGTAGCATACCTCAAACAGGACCATAACCCAACAATACATGTTCTCAAATAAAGTTCATCTAACTGGCAAGATTTTCTGTTAAAACCTGCCAGACAGGCCTTAGAAAACTCAAACTTTCTGTATCTCTAAGAACAGCAGCCAGTCACAGCTCTGAAGTCCAAGTCTCATTCTCAATAAAGGTTACAATAAATAAAGTCTCATTTACACAAAAAACCACATCTAGAATGGTGACAGAAATTAGAGTGACTAAGTCTAAATTCTGGGAGTTTTCCTTTTGTTTTAAGTGTTACTGAATGTTACCTTACCTTTTCTAATCGTCCTGTTGTATAAATTTCCAAATCAAAGTACTGTGGCAACTGCAGTAAGTTGGTGACTTTTTCTGCGTCTACAGAATACTGTAAAATTGGCAAGGAAATGAGTTCAGACGAAAAAGTCTTAGACAAAATAATTCATTACAGAACAAGCAAATATTAATAAAGACTAGTAAGGAAAAAAATAATACTTGTGGCAAGCCATACCATTAATTACAAAAACTATACTTGTAAACATTTCAGCAACAGTCCATCAGCAAGAAATGGAATTAAACCCACCTTTGCTAGCAACTGAGGGAGTGCCACTGCAAAAAGTTCAGTAATTTTTGTCCTGTCATCCAGTTGGGTTTTCTTTTCCTTTGCTGTCAGCACCTAAAATATTGGTATTGTGAGCATTTTACAGCTAAAAGTTCTGGAGCAAAGTTTCATTACCATTAATGAAATGATGATTAGGTACACAGATCTCTAATATCACTGTAAAATATCAATGAAAAGCAAGAGAAGGGGCATGCAATTTCCAAAAAAAAAAAAACCAACCATTCAGCATTCAAAAATGCAATTCAAAGTTAGACCTCATGCTATGATTAAGATTACAGTGAAAAAAGAAGTGATAATCTAGAATGAAGGATTTACCTTTCCTGCAACAAAATACCACGACTGGAATGATAATGAAAGAACAGCAAACCCTTCTTTTTAATGGTATTTACCCAATTCATATGCCAATCTAATCTTCATACAAGGTTTCAATCTGTACCTAAATGGGTTCCTTACCAAAAAAAGCACCAGTCTTGAGAGCAGTTCTCTTTCCTGTTTAATGCCTCAGTAAAAGAGGGCTGCCTAAACTCTACAGAGTCATAGAAAAGCCAATTGGTGGACTGTCCTCCTTCCAAGACACTATGGAGTGTATTTTCCTTTCCCTCATTTTGCTCTTGCTCACTGAAAATAGTTTTAACTTTTCCCAAACATTGATTTTTGTCTTCCTTTCCAAGCAATACTGCTTTGAAAATCAATTTTATATTACATTTAATAGTACAAACAAATGCAGCAGTTCAAACAGCATTAAGCAAATGCCAAAGTCCAGAAAAAGTGAACTAGCCAGGGCAGTCGGATACTGGAGGCTGTGGAGACCAAAGCTGAACTTCCAAACTCAGTCCCTTCAGCAGCAACAGCCTACAACCTTTTCCTTCTTCCCACAATGTCCCCACAGAGCCATTCCCACATCTCTAGATGAGTAGCTTTTTGCTTCCTACCCTTTTTCCTGTTCCTCTTCCCACAGGAGGATGACATTCAGCCGCTTGCCGAATTGTACAAAGCATTATTTCGATCAGTGCACTTTCCTGTCTATCCGTTAAAGCTGAAATTTAAGAAACAGATGTTAACACACAGCTTGATTTTTCATCTTCCACAAGGATCAAAATATGTTTGGTTTTTTTTAAAGGAAGACAGACAGACATTTAGGCCAACAGCTCATTTCCAGAGGTGGCGATGGCAGAGGGGATAGAGAAAGTAAGTACCTTATAAAACAATAGCAGGAAATATTTAAAATTGAGAGAATATCCCTGGATGAGTCACAGGACAGGATGAAACAGATACCAAGTTTTATAATCATTTTAGCTCCTTTTCATTTTTCAAAGGTCCATTTACTGGGACCTATGAATTACAAAATTATGCCAGGGGTTTTGTTTGGGTTTACTGTCATTAAAGAAATTACAGTATTTCTCTATATGGTAGTTGTAACACTCAAGAAATGAACCAGTTTCACAAGCAACTTAGTTTCTCTGATGTCGAAAGTGCAGCCTGAACTTGTGGAACAAGGCAGTGGGACTCTGCATGCTTATTCCTTCTCTTTTCTTCCCACCATTATTCTTCTGTCTCACTCCCATACCAGTAGAAGTGATCTCTTTCTACTCTTCCCTACATTTTACAATTGGTATTAGTGACTGATTTCTCAGAGTCAAGGAAACACAGAGAATATATGGAGACTCATAAATGTGAACATCTTATTTCCTTATACATCAAGAGTAACAGAAACTGCACAGGAACATAAATAAAGATCTAGAAAAATCTTTTACGTTCTTCTCCATTGAGAGGCTCCTCCAGCAGAAGACTGTTCATACATTCCCAGTCCTTCAGGAGGTCTGTTGCACAGTCCCACATGCTGTCCACAAGATAAGCAGCATGTTCATGCAACTAAAATGAGAACAGATTAAGTATTTGATCAGCAATAAAGTTCATTACAGAGCAATAATACAGGGTATTTCTTGCACTCGGCTCCTGCCCGTGGCAAAAACACAAAGCAAGTTTTGTGAGCTCTCTGGTTAAACAGAAGACTTTCTTCCCCAATTAACTTTAAAAGAGGAATCCAGACCAACTGCTACAAAGAGCAGGGCTACAACATCTGTCAGAACTTGTGAGATAGGTGGGTAAGGATTGTGGTTGTGAGTTTTTTTTGTTCTGTTTCACCACCACCCCCCTTTTAAATCTCCTAAATCACAATTTCTTTACATCTATACATCAGCATGTAGAATGACAGAATATTTGTCAAGAGTAGAATTCACAACCTGTCTCAACACTGTACTGACAGATCCTTCAAATAAAAACAACCACGCAAAACAGTCTTTTAACCCCCAGGTTGCTCAAATAACAGGAAAACCCGGACAGATTCATGGTTATTAATCAATGAGTGGGGAAGAGAAAAACAAGAAAATGAAATTTAAAAAAATTAAAATGAACCACAACAACAACACAAAAACCACACATACCACAAAAACAAGGATATCCCTGGAACCCAACTTACTTCACTTTCCAAAAAGAAAAACACTAATGTCTTCACAAGATTAGCATTCGGGCTTTGTCTTCCTCTCCTTTTAAGTATTCCATCATCTTCAGCATCTCTGCGGCTGAAAAGCCTAAAAGAAAAATTATTTCTTGACAACTTTCTTCTTCGTTGCCTTTGCCACAGTCAATTCACATCAAGATACTGTTTTTTACACACTTAATACCTTGTTGTTCAGCTCCACATTCTATTTTGAAAGGAAGTAATTTGGGACAAGTATCATTTGAACAATTTCAGATATGTTGAGTGGATATTTCACTGACTGTTTCCAGTGGAATGTATAATTATAACAAAATGATTTACAAACATCAGTGATAATTGCAGGTGCTTGAGGTCCTATGCTCCTCTTTAGCAAACCATGTTTTCTGAATCTCCCCACATGAGACTTTAAAGCAGCAAAGAAATACTGGAAGAAGGTCTGAAAAGTATTAGATGAAAAGTCTGTTTTGTTCTCCTACACACCTGAAATATATTGGATTTTTTTTTTTTTAAACAGGAAAATATTTTTTGAAATGGTCAAATGAGCTAATGGGAAGAGGGGGGCGCAAGGGAGGAACCACAAATGGGAAAATACTCATTATGATCCAAGCCCAAGTTCAGGCACCAAATCACATGAGCATTTTAAGATGCTTCACAGGAAGAATGGGAAAGGAAAAGACAGATGAACATTTTTATTACATTCCCTGAAGGTACAAGCTTTTCAAGGACAAGCCTTCAAAACTGCTCTCTATTTCCATTCAGAAAAACTACAACAGTTCAGAAACTACAGTAATGTTACAGTCTCTCTTCTCTCTTAAGGCCAGTTCATGATTCAGTTTTTTCCTTTTCCTAATTAAAACTAACGACAATCAGAGTGTTAACAGACACATGAAATTCTACAGAAAGAAGTCGTTAACTATAATTTCCCCATCTTACTTTTTGTAAAGAAATTCCCCTGCGGCAACTGCTACTGGTCGGTGAGCTGAATAAACCAGGTGGTAGACATTTTCACAGTCTTCTGCAGTCAGAACTTCTTCACTACTCCTGGGGTGGGGACGGGAAGAAGGAAAGAAGAAAAAGAGGCTGAGTTAACAGATTATGAACTTTAATGAGAAAGATGAAAATGAAGGAGAATCGAAACGTTTTCCTTCAATTTGTCATGCTAAAACCCAAAGTCTTAGTTCCAGCATCTTCCTGAACAAAATATACTGATCAAGTACAAGCTTTTGCTAGAAGGTTATGCTCCAAAGTTCAACTACTGTGTAATGTTCAGTAGATTCCATGTTCTTCATTTTAAACATTCCATGATCACTTCAAACTATGGAGGTTGAATCCCAAATTCCATCCACCTACCTAACTGTGGGACATAAGTAACAGCACTGTTCTAGTCAGATTACAATTACTTTTGAAATTCCCATTTGTCTGATAGTAAGATGCATAGATATTTCTATAGACTTCAAATGATCTGAAGTGTCATGCTGCTGGCCTAACCCACAGGGATTAGAAACATTTTTTAAGTTTCAATATCTGTTGTAAGTCAGATAAGAAAATATACATGTACTTACTGTAAAACAAGAGTGAGTAATTTTATTGCTTGGACTGCAACATCATATTCTTTGTCAAGAGTCATAGACACAATTCTATCCTAAGAACACAAAAGAAAATATTTTTCAAGAGGAAAGAAGTGTAATCCAACTTTAAAAATAATAATACTGTACCTAAAAATAAGAAGTTACACTAACCTTGAACCGACTGGTGAAGAGTTCCAATTTGGAATTAAGCTCTTTATTATAGTAAAGCCCTTGCAAAGCAGTTAGGCATTTGAGTCTTACTTCCCCTTGCTAAAATAAAAAATAAAAAAGTGAATTAAAAGTCAACTATAGGATACAGATCTTCACATCATACAAGATAAGTTTCTTTTACACTCTGAATTAATTCAAATATTAAATGCTGTCCCAATATACTACCAATGATCATGTTAATGACATAAGAATATATCCTTGTTTGTAACAAGCTAATGAAGGAAAAAAGCCAAACAAAACCCCAATATCTTACTGCAGTTAGCATCTCTATCAGTCAAAATACACTTGTTTCATTCTTTCTAAATGCTCAAGATATTTCTAAGTAGAACTCTATATGTTTCATTTCTATTAAATTAAAACTGACAACATCTGTATTTGTATCACCAACGACCATCTCTTGTTTGATCAGAATTAGTAAGTAGATAATGAGAGAAATACTCCTTCTGAAATACAAGATGTACTTCAGCAGAGGGCATGTTTTATGGTACAGATACAGAATGACTTTTCCAAAGTTTAGGACAACTGACTCCACACAGTTTCTATGACCCCACTGCCAGAGGTTCTTGGTTATTTACCCCAAACCCACAAAGAGCACAGCACGAGTGAGCACCCCTCATTTGTGCCACTTTACAGTCAACAGTTTGAAGTCTCCAATGCAAGAACTGAGACAATGTGCTGACTCAAAATCAGGGAGTATTTGTAAACTATGTCTGCTGACCCCTCCAAGCAGAGAATAAGCTCTAGGTGGTAGATATGAAGTAACAGCTCGAGGCACTCACCAGCACAAAAGGGGACCTCTCCCATGCTTTTTACAGCTGGAGGAGAATGCTAGAAAGTTTCTTAACTTGGCAAAACAGGCTACAGGACTGCATTATTCCATATGACATGCACTGATTTTAAATAAGTATTCTAAAGTAAAAGTCTGGATCAGTAATAAATAAATACAAAAGACTATTTCTTTACAAATAACAGTCCCTTAAAAAAAAAATCTATATATACTCTCTAAAAACATTCAAAAGATTCAATTCTAGTTTATATATATGTTGAAATGCCAGTGCTTCTGAATGGTAAGAATAGCAGTGACAGATTTAAACAGTTAGGAGATCTGAACCCAGTCTGACAAGATAACAACCAAAACCATGGAGTTATGCTTCCTGGCTCTGCTCCTTTTCCCCAGTGCAGTTTACCTTATCATGCATAGTCCACCCCACATATTTTAAGTAGCTGTCATTGAGAAAGGCATCACTGTACATCTTCATCCATATTCCAATCTCTTCAATGCAGATGGCTCTGATTTCAGCAATTGCATCTCTGTGGAGAGAAGTGGGGCAGGAAGTTCAAACAGATGAATAATTAGAAATAACCTGCCACCGGCTTCCAAAATAAATTAACGAAGCTACAAATTACTTACTGCGAGAAACTTACCGGTATCTATGCACAAAAACACCTTTAAATATTGCATTCATCATGTTTTCTATTTCATCCTGATTTTCTTGAAGCTGAAAGAGTGTACAGGGTACATAAACAGTGAGGAGCACTTTTACAGGCAGATCAGATGGTGGTGATGCTACACAAACTAAATTAATGTTTAAAGTATAACCAACAAATCCTTTCCAGAAATATTCACAAATCTGTTTCACAGTACAACATACTATTATTTAAGGAATTGTATCTATCCCAGCATACAAACTAATTAATTGTGACCACTGCAAAACTGTTCTTCAAGTGTAACTAAGACATCTTAAGTTTCTGAAAGGTCCTTCTAAGCTTATTTATAAGAAAACTTGATTTAATTTTCTTGTAACATCCCTGCCTTTTTCATTTATCTATGTATTACTCATATGAGGACTGGTCCTGTACATACATCTAGCACAACTATACTGAATGGGTGTTCAAGGGATCAGTCTCAAACTGCAAGATCTTTGCAAGACAAACAGAAGACAAAGTTGTTAAGTTTGTCTGAACTGTCAAGAAAACAAAAACCTTAACAGGTAACAGCACAAGCACTGAAGAGCAAAGGTCAGATGTTTCCTTTGATCATGAGAAGATTATTTCTAATGTCTAAAAAAAACAAACAAAAAAACCCCCAACAACAAAACAAAACAAAAAAAAGCAATCCAAAACAAAACTAACCCCCCAAGAAGCCCCTACACAAAACAAACCACCAATTCCCCCCCAAAAAAATACTGAAACCTGAATGAATTGGGCTTTCAACAAGACAGCACTGTCAGCAGTGAATCAGCAAGTCTCTTTTACACAAAAGAAAGAAAATAGAAATAGGCTGCATTTTCAGTTTTGACAGTGCTTTCTGTAGATCAAAAAAGCCTTATCTAAAGCCTTTAAACACACTTTCTGCTGAGATCGATATTGACATTATAAAAGCAGTACTTTGCTCCAAGATCCCAGAGATCTTCTCTAGAAGCCAAAAAAGTCAATGTATAGTAAATTTTGTTATGTATTCCAGCTTGGTTTAGGAAACTAGTCAAGAAATACAACAAAAAATTAGCTTTTATGAATTGCCGTCTCTCTTACTAACTTTCCTATGACACTACTATTTTTAAGAGTCTACATTTATCTCAGAAAATCAGACAGTAAGAAGCACCTTTCAAAGTTTTTTAAACATTAAACATGAACAACTTTGAAGAATTAAACAGAGACTAACAACTACCAAAACATATTACAGACCAAGATTAATTATGAGTTGTCAGCTATGAACACTCATCACGTGCACACCAGCTAGAGTTGCACTAACCTCCTTTCTTTTCTGTAGTAAGAGTTCCAGCCTATCATTAGCTCGTTTCCCAATTATTTTATTTCGTTCTGCTTCATACTGCCGCTGTGTGTTGTCCATGTTAATACTAAGATTTAATGCCACATTCACTAAAGCAGTCATCAGCTTCATGGCTACAGAAAAAAAAAGCGACAAGAATAAAGATTATTTAAAAGGTTCTGATCTAAGAAAATTTATAAACAAAAATCTTGACACCTCCTCCTTCCAACTCTTCCTGTATTTATGAAAATATATTCACTGTAAATTTCTTGGTACACAAACTTTAGCAGTGTTTTACCAAGCATTGCATAACGACTGATCATCACAACAGATAAATACTTATTCTGTTCTTTTCTGCCAATTTTACAATGTTATAAGCATTATTCTTGATTGAGATATATGATATGCTTCCTCCCCATAATGAAGGTAAAATGTAAGATTTACAAACAGCCCAGGAAATATTAAAAGGATTCCATTATCAGAGTCTGTAAGACTGACACCATTCAACCTTAGATACACAACAAGTTTCTTTCTTTAAAAGGAAATGTCTCGGACAACCAACACCACCATATCACACCAGTCTTTTCTCCTCAATTTAATTTTAACAAGGGACAGGTTTTTTTAAAGATTCCTTTATTAGCAGAGGAAGCACATTAGCCAGAGAACTGACCAAAATACGAAACACACTTGCATGGGCTTTTTGCTGTGTTTTTATTTCTAAATCAACCCTTTTTAAAAGGGTGCAGACAAATATCCTCCCAGAAATGAGGAGGAGGTCAACAGTGTACTTGCTTTTCTTGTGAACTTCTGTAACAAGGCATGAAAGGGCTTGCACTGGCAGAGCACACATGGAACATTGTTGTGAGCGTATCACCAGCATAAAGCTGATGAGCAAGACTTAAAGACATGCAGTTATATTGAAATATCATCTCACACTGTGATCTCCAAGGAAATCAAGATTAAAGAACAAGTCTGAGCTCATCACAGAAGCCAAAATTACCACAAATAACAGTAAATATGGATACAGGGATTTTGTTGGCTTTCTATTCCATATAAAACATAACCTTCAAGAATACAAACTGTAAACTCAGATCAAACACACTAGTAATTACACGAAATCAACAGAATTGACTACTGATGTGAACAAATGCAAACAGAACTGCTGAAAAAAATATTTTGTGTGACAGAAATCAACATGCAACAGGGCAACTTCTGCAGCTTTAATTCAGGAACAACTCAAATAAAAATTAAAAAAAGGGGGTAAAAACTTGCTTTTTAAGACCTAATATTTGTATTAGTCACATGTTACAATAGTCAGAATTGATGATACAGCAGAATCTGTAAATGTGTTCCTCTCTCCATAAGAAATGCCCAGGCTGGTGGGAGTCTCACAGCATGTGCAGTGTGCTAATGTAAACTCAAGGAGTTATCAATGATACAGAACAGCTGACAGGACAGTCAGCACTGAAGCAGCTGTAAACCAGACAGGTCCAGGGAAGGTAACAAGAATTATTTCCAGTGGGGCAAAAACTCAGTTTCACATACAGCTTAAATTCACCTTGTTCAAAGTAAAATTGCTACAATAACCTCACATAAGCTGAGGCTACACAATGCCATTCACAACCCTTCTTCAGGAATCAGTGCACGTTTAGGACTTCCTTATCCAAGAAGCTTATCCTTTGTCCATATAAAGACATATTTCTTTAAAACACTCTACACTTAATTCATAAGGGATTTCTTCATAATTTAACAGATTGGAAAAAAATTCACGTGAAAAGGTCAATTACTTAAAACCATAAAGGTACTTAGTAACTGTATCACTGATGAAACATGCTTTAAAATTATTTCTAATGCAAAGACTGGAAATGCTACTTTACATGGTACCACGGCCTCAATATGCAGCACAATTTAATGTGTAGGAAAAATTGCATCCAACATAAACTACAACTTTAGACTTTATGCAGAGAATTAACAGGCTCAACTGGCATTTGAGGTTAGAGATCCCTACAGCCTTATTTATGACCAAAGACAAACTCGAAGAATCAACAGAAAGTCTCCTTCTATTTACTTTTTCTACCAGACTTAAAGGTAATAAAAATTAAGTACCAGACAGCTGGTGAAGAATGCTTTAAAATAATGCTGTGCTTTTCAGTAACAAAAAAAATAATAAAAAGCTGTCCCAAACCAAGTTGCATTAGATGAAAACTGTATCACACAATGAAACTCAGTTGAATGTTGAGTATCAAGAAGTTTAACCAGAAGAATCCTTCCCTGTGCAGCACAAAACATAAGATGTAGGCAATACACAAATAAATCCAATTCACTGACCTGCCAGTGTGCTCGTGTGCCGAAATGCTCTGACTTGTGAGTCTGACAGCCCCGTGAGCAGTGAAATGACAGTATCCATCATATACTCATCATAAATGATGCTATATTGACATTGTCGGACGAGGACTCCAATGAACTCACAAAAACTGGATTTGAACTTCTTCCACTGGGGGCCAGCCATAGTTAGCGGATAATCTCCGCTATCCTATTAAAAAACAGAAAAGGAAACTCTTTCGAACGTCTTAAAAATTATTTCATGAAATAAAGATTAAAAAGAGATGGGTACAACTTTAAAGCCAAAACCTCCAAGGCGCTAAAAATGATACATCAGAAGAATGCGATTCCATAAATATGCATCCACTTTGCAGCTCAGGCTTGTTGTAGCACAAAGACAACATTTTAACTACTAATTTCTCTTTCTTGTTCTGACTCCCAGAAAAGAAGAAAAAAAAATAAAAATCACACGCCTTACAAATCTGCTTCAGGTTCCACCAGAAGCATCACACGAACAGCTGGGTGCTGGCTTAGGAACAGTCAATTCAGGGCCATAATACAGCTTAGAGGGAGATGTTTACATATCAGACTGAAACTTCCTCATGTCACAAAATGACCAACTACAACACCTTGAATACAACTAATGTGTGTTCCTCTCCTGATCTGGGAGCCTTTACAAATCACGGTAAAATGACAAGGAGAAAAAAAAAATGCTTTGTGTCAGTGCTTCTGTGAAGAGTTTCTTTAAGAGGCTGAACAACAATACAGGTTGAAAAATTAAAAAAGGACCCATGAAAAGGGATTAGAAATCAGAGTTGTTCATTAGAATTCCGTTACAAGAACAAGTGAGCATGACAGTGATTAAAAAAAACATGAGCAAACAGTCCCAGCTGTGGCTTTATAAATTTCATACAATATTGCCTTAGAGTAATCAAATCTATTTATGCATTCAGATATTTCTAAGGAACACTAAAATGCTTTTTTAAAAAAGAGTACTACATTTTCCCCTCAGTTAAAGTTAAAGATTTTTTTTTATGTGAGGGTGGGGGGATTATTTCTGTACTGGACAAATCTGGGGAGGAGGTTTTAAAGCTACCTTTATGTTCCTTGGTACACAGGGTGAAAGGAATATCACTCAAACCCACTACAAAAAAAAAAAACCCAACCAAAAAAAAACTCACCACCAAAAAACCCCCAACATATCTCATGTATCCCAACACTCAGTGGACAGAAAGTGACAATTTAAAGGGAAAACAGTTATAATCCCCATGAAAGGAAAAGCATTAGTCTTTAACTGGAGATTAATCAAATTCAAACCCCCACAATTTATAGATTAATGAATGCATAGAAATAAATTTAGCAGCCATTTTAAGAGAGAATTTTAGGCCTTACATACACAGTAGGAATGGGGAGTCATCCCACACAGATCCACAGTAGTAGGAGTTCCCACTACTTAAAAACTCAGTAGATATTGATTTCTTAAACCATTAATAAAACAAGTTACATACATGCAGAGCTTTACTTCCTAGTCTTACAAGCTCAGTGAAATAAGGCAATTTAATATTTTCATTCATGAACGTCCTGTCATTTCTGTAGATGAACTTATCCTTGAAACAAACCTCTACCAAGGTGATCCAGCAACATTAGGACAGGTAAAAATAAAACTAATATCAGTATGTAATCAATACTTCATTAAATTACCTCATCAAATTCTTCAGTCATTTTTCGGATTATTTCAGAATTCTGCATATGTCGGAACATCTCTGCTGTAACAACTCCTACAATTTAGATATTTGACCGTTAGCACTTTTAATATGAAAGTGGGTAGGTGGCAGATGACATGACTCCTGCTACAATGCAAAAATGATCCATTTTCAGCTAACCTACAGTTTACACATGTATTTTTTAAATAATTTCCACATTTTTTTTCTTTTAGCATCCATGTATAATAAGCACTTGACACCATATATATATATATATAGAGGGGTTTATTATTCTATTTAAGAAGTGTGTTTATGTGCATGTACACATACATGTAGAATTCACTCATTCACTCATATTCAGAAGTCAAAGATACTTGTGCCAGAGCTCTTTATCAACAAGAGATTACACCATCTGAAGTGACCTTTTAGGACTCAAGATTCTAGATGGTGTAAGACAATTCTGAACAGTTGTATGGCTACTTATTATCTTCTGCACTCCAATAAACAGAGTGATTTCATGCAATTTCTATTTGTCTTGGCCTCAAATTGTTAGGGTGTAAATAGTGATATAAAAACCAAATAGATCTCCCGAAGTTTACTGCAAAATTCATGACAAGGATCACCACAGAAAGCATTAAAAGATTCTGCAGCTTTATCTTGTACCAATAATCAAAAGGTCACTGCTCCTGAAAGCACGGATAACCTCCGAGGAACGCTGCTGGCTTTCTGGAGATTTATGCATGTTAAAAGTTTATCAGGACAGAGAAACGCTTGAGCAGAACAAATTACATCCAGTCCTACTCTATCAAGCTCAGTGACGCTGCAGGATAAGTTACCTCCTCTTCAGAAAGAGGTGAGAGAGGAAAAAGAATGAAGGATGTGGAAATGAGGAAAGAAAAATCAGAAAAAATAAAATATAGAAATACCACCTTACTGCAGACAGGCTACCATGAAGTTGTCCATTGCATCTTTTAAATCAAGCACATCTACAAAAGCTATGAAGCAATCTTAAAACACTCAATGATAAGAACAGATAAATCCAATCTAGAATGCCAAGACTGAACAAGCTAAACTATCAGTGTTAAGAGAGATGGTTTCTGAAATAATAGCAGGAACAGAAGAAGATGAAGCACGTGTTAAGTACCAGTACTGCAATCTACCTGCTGTAAATACAAAAGGCTTAATCTACGTTTTAAACTACAGTATAATATCTCTAAACCTCCTGCTCACACCTTCAGAAATCCTAGTTTAACTCCAAGAACCTGATAATGTAAACTAGCTGCAGGGATGGAGCATTTCTACAGCATCTGCAGTATAAAAGCAAAATGTTATCATACTGTAATATTACTTAAATGGATGAGTAAACATTTCAGTGTCTTACCTTTGCAGCCTGAACACTGAATAAAGAAGTTAATGAGATCAAGAAGTGCTATATCTCTGTCATGTTTGTACGACTCTATCCAGTCATCCACTACAGACTGAAAGGAAGCAAATAAAAAAGGCACTGTTCAGTTTTCATAAATTGAAGACAATGTTATTTAACTGCTTTCCATAAGTGATTCTTCTTCATTCCTTCAGTAACTTGAACTCTTTTTTGATTACAGAACTAAATGTCTGAATAATCCTCTACTGCCATAATATTAGTCCTCAAAATAAAGAACTCATTCTATAAACAAACGTATACAAGTACAAAACTGACACCTTAACAGAAAGCACAGGAATACCACCTCCTTCTACTCTAACTTTTTTGGAGGAAGAATGCAAAAATAGTTGGTATATTTTACAGATTCAGGTATTTTATTTACAATCACCCCACCTCACCAAGCTAGTGACACTTCTCTAAAGCTACTCTTTGGGTGTTCAGTTCCTACAGCTCCCTGTATTCTTTCAAAAATGTGCTCCTTTGACGAAATGGGCACCACATACATTTGCCAAAACAGGATGAACAACACTGCCCTACACTGCATGGACAGTAATTACTCTGCAGTCACTAACCTAAAGAGGAACAAGAGCATTTTATTAACAAACTTTAACATGAAGCAAATTAATAGGAAACCTGTGATAATGGTTTTGAGAAAACAGAATTTACATGTAATTATGTTGCAACCATCCATGTGTATGGTACAAACTGTCTACTGCTGAGGTCATAAAAACAAAATCCCACAATTTTATTAACTGATTCTTGTTCCCAGCCCCAGTGCAGGAGCCTGCAAACCTCGAGAGCACTGCAGAGTGACCCAGCTTTCTGTGTGCGTACCACAGAAGCTGTAAACTCTACGTTTCCAGTCCCAAAGATAGACTTTCTTCCAGGCAGCCGAGGAGTCACATGAGTGAGTCAGCAGGAAGGCTTCATGGCTGACAGGCTCACACTTTAACCCTCTCTCCACTGGAAGACTCACAGTCAAGTAAACGCTTTAGAGAGTTAATGGAATCCAAAAAAAAAAAAAAAAGAGCTGTATTTCTTACTAGTGTGACTTCAGCCCCGCTAGTAAATGCAGTGGGGAGAGTGCCTAATGCACAGCTTAAACCTCCTCTAAGCTGACTTGGCTAATGTATATTGCTACACTGGAATTGGCTGGAATTTGGGTCAGGAAATTTTAAAGAGGAGCTCTGAAATTGTAGCTTGTGATTTTACTCTGGGTGAGAGAAGAGAAGCAACTACTTATTTTCAGATAATCTAAGCTCTGGAAGCACCTACAAACTACAGACTTCTTGTTAAGTTCTATGACAGCTATAGGCCTAAACCACATTTATATTTAGCTACAGTCACACAAAAAGGACTTTAAAGTCATGTAATCTAAAACAGACTTTCTTCATTCAGAATATTGAAAATTTACTTTGAATCACAGTATGAATTTCTTCATTATATATGTGATTATTCATAGAATCATAGAATCAGCTGAGTTGGAAAGGACCTCTGAGATCATCAAGTCCAACCCTTGATCCAGTACCATTCATGCCTAACATTTAGAAATGAAAAATTAGTTCATTCAAATTCAAACCCTAACAATGAAAAACCACTTTATTTTGATCCTTGTCTGCAACTAAAACCAACAAATTTAGGAAAAATATTACTTTAGGCTTCATTTGATTACATTGCATGTAGAGGACAGTATTGTTCTATTTAAACTGTATATAATTCGAGTCACAGAGAGAACCCAGATCTTACCTGCATAGCACTCTTGCCCATTTTAACTACCTCAAACAGCATCATGTTTTCCACACCATTCTGTTGGTGATGTCCATTCATCCGATTTGGACCACCAGGTTTCCCTCCTCCGTTTCCACTTTTCCCCTTCTCTGCTGGTCCTTTTTTTCCTTTTTTACAGGTCTGCAATCACACACACACATCAAGTATTAACTGGGTTTTATGCAGAATTAAAAAACAAAAAGCCAAACACATCACTATCCATACCATGACAAATATACACAAGGCCTTTGATTTTCAGCAACCAGATTTTAATTCTATATATAAAAAACAAAACATTCAGAATAACAGCAGATCTTGACTGATACGAAGACCAGCGAGAATTCTACAGGTTCCACTTTCTCCTTCCCTCATTTAAAATCTTGTAGCAAATAAAAATGTGATTAGTGACTATGTATTACACACAGATTTTTCTCATGTTTAAATTGTAAAACAGGTTATGCATATTTTCTTGAAAACAGCTAAGGCAATTCCCTAAACACATCACAAAGTCTCCTCTGCAATTCACTAACCTTTTGGTTTTTTAATTTGAACACATATTAGCAAGTGGGGGTAAGGAAAAGCAGACTGGTGTCTTTGTATTTGATTTCCCAAATCAAGTATGACTTACAGAAAGAAGAAAATATTATTTTAAACACAAATAAACCACCATTTTATAAAACTTATCACCAATTCTCAATAGTTGGGCCCTCTCCCCAGGTACAGGCACAGGGGGTGGCCAGTGAGGTGGTCACAGCCCAGCACAGCCTCCTGTAGTGGGTGCAAGGCCAGTGAGAGGCAGGTGGGGAGGAGGGGAAAGAAGGGTTGGTAACTGGGTTTAGACCTCCCCACTCCAGCAGTGTAGCCTCCTGCCTGTGACCTATTTAAAAAAACCCTTCTAACTAAGTTACTGGTTTCTGTTCACTTTTCAAATTAAAAGAGACAGAATTCATGACAGCAACCAGAAGAGACTGTATTACTCAAATTTATGTATAGGATGGAACACATGCAGAGGGACTAATCAAATCAAAGATTATCCTCTTCTCCCCTACCTCCCTTATGCCTTCATAGCACTAAGAAAATATCATGGAAACAGTCAAGATGAAGTGATTCCATGCAAACACAAATATGAACTCTCTTCACAGAACACTTGTGTTTTCAGAAAATATTTCTAGCTCATTCAACTTCAAAGCAAGTATTACACTCTTCATTTCTTAACAGTGGAAATGTTTCAGTATCCCTAAAGACTGAACATACTTTGCCTTTGCCTTGTTTTTGGTTTTTTCCTTCAATATCCTCAAAGTCTGTATCAGAAGAGAAGTGTGTTTCAGACTCCCTGCAAGGATAAAAAGACAAACCATTTACGCATTTCATCAGAAATGTTCTTAAATATACTACATAAGATCACAGTATGCTCTCAGCCCAGTAAGTCAACACCAACAGTGAAACTGCTTTTGTTTTCAAGTCTGCTATTGAGGAATGGAGCACATCCCCACACTCACACCCTATCCAGCCTCCTCCAAACAATGTACCAGTGAAGAAAAAGCCATACAGTAAGATTAAAAGATGTGAGGGCAGGTAGAAAATAGCAACAGGCTGGGAACCTTGCTCTTGGCAAGTGACAAACATTACAGCATCTCAAAAAGCAAAGAGCACAAAAAATTCTGTGCCACAAACATTTAAACAAAATGAGAAGGGGAAAAATCCCAAAATCCCAACAGCAAAAAAATCCTCCGTCACTTTCCCAGACAATCAAAGTGTCTCAACATATTCCTTCCTGCTGTTAGAAACTCAGGAAATAGTTTAGAGGTTTGCACTTATGTTGAAAGGTATAGAATAAAAGTTTAGGTGAGGTTTCTTCAAAAAGATTACCTGTAGTCCTGTTTAGACTTATAAGGTAAAAACACACTAAATACACAGTGATTTGTTTAATTTTCTACACATTAAAATATGCTGCATCAATATACAAATCCTTTAATGCCAATATTGATGAGGGGATAGTGTCTGAAATCAACTGAATTATTAACAGAGAATGTTTGGCTTATATATTCTCTACTTCTACATTTCCTGTAGAATTTAACTGAAATGATGCTACTAGATCTCATTTTAACACACTTCTGTGCACACTTCCTGATTCAATTAACAACACAAACAGAAAGACAACCAGGGAGCACAGGAGACTCATTCCTATGGATTTCTTTGTAACATTCTAAAACACTCCAGAAACTTATGGTCTCTCACTAGTTCAAGTATCTGATAAGAGGTTTCTGCCTTTTAACATGCATCTTGCCATTTCTGGTTTTGCTGGCTGGGTACACTCATAGGGACTGGAAAAGCCTCCAACAGGGGGTTAAGGGGAAGACTGAAAGAAAGAAAAAGGTAGGAAAAATAATCTCTTCTTCAAAGACTCCTAAGATGTTTCTAATTTTCACAGGAAAGAAATAAACACAACTTCCAAACATTTCACCACACAATGAACTCTACCAATGGAGTAAAACCCCATTATAAGCAGTTGTAGAAACACTATTTCATATTAAACCATCTTCCAGTTTATTTCCAATCTTTATTTCTCACTGATAAGAAAAAACACCCAAGCAAATAACCTCACGGACATAAAACTACATCCTGGCATCCTTTTCGATTTCATAACCAAGTTAATCCACTTCAGCAGTCTAGAGGAATATATTCATGTCAATCCCTTTACCATAAAAAGGTATATCTTGGAAATTCAAATGTCCCTTTCTTAAAAAATGATTTTTAAACACTTATTTTAATTTCTGCTGAATTAATACTCAAGAAAAAAATTAAAACAATGCTTTATCAACATCTCAATAGAAAAAAACCTCAAACCCTATCATTTTGTTTCCTTGTTTCCAAAAGAAAGCAAACAGTAACATTAAAAAGACAGTAGATTTACAAAAGAAACCACAAATTCTTAAAACACTTACTGAAGGAGAGTAAAATCAGTTGGTATTTCTGGAGCTGCTATCATTTCTTTATCATCTTCTGGAACACCACTGTATTAGAAAGATATTCAAAAAGCAGTCTGAAATGCAAGCTTACTTTTCTTTCTTCCTTTGTAGTGGGCAACTTCTAGAATAAAATTTAAAAAAATACAGTGAAAATTACTCCAAATATGAAGGCATAAAAAAGTTGGAAACACAGAAAATGTAGATCACACCATCCTCTGTTTCCAACCAAGCTTCTTCCCATTTACAGATTTTTTGACTCCTCCCATGATCCTACTACAAAGTACCCCCACAAATGGTAAAAGCATCACAGTAAAAAATACAGAAACATTTGTAAAACAAACACACCCAACAACAACAACTACTACTTTCTGAATAGGATGAGCAAACTAGAATGTTTTCACTAACACCTTTCAAGTAACAGTTTTACTTTCTAAATCTATACTAGATTTAAGTTTGACCTGTAACACCATGCACGGCAGAGCCCAGACTTCAGAACACTATGGTATTTCTGGTGGACCAAACCAAAACCAGATTTGATATTTAACTTAAAGCCTGGTGTGTGTACATTTAAGGACACTATAGGTACCAACTTCGTATCTCCAATTTGCAAACTTCCATGTCATTTTCCATAAATATAAGCTCATAAAACAAGTTCTTATAAACAGATGTTTCACAACTCCATGCCTTTCAAAGCTGATAAACCAGACTTAACAACAGTTTTAACAATTAAAGCAATTTGCCAAGATTTTAGAATATCAAGGAAGATAATACTATTCACATGGTATAAAGAAAAACATCAGAAACACCCATGGTGTTTTAACTAAAGATTGTGAAATACTTGCTTTAAACTTAATAATAGTATTGTCACCTATTCACAAATTTTGTTATTTCTATTATTTTCCTATTTTTTAAAGGGGAAAAAAAACCTCCCTGGATACTTCAAATGCAACCATCCAGGTTGAAGTTTTCCATGTCGCTTGGCTACCCCAGGCTAACTTTTACACAGTGAAATTAAGAAACCATGATCTTCAGGTATTTTAAAAGACAGAATACTAAGGAGGAAAACCTTCAGAGTCAGTCTGCTGACTCTACAGCTTGCTGGAGTGATGAGGTATTTGAGGGAATGATTTAATTTTGGCATGCTAAGCACATGTTGCTCAATGTCTGGGAGCTGTGCTTCAGAGGCTGCATTTCAATCGCGTGTACACAGAGGCCGGACGGCTCTTTCCTGCAAGTGCTGATTCCGAATGCTAGGGGCCACTGTAGCTTCCAGAATTTAGAGCTGAGAGAAACCATAAACCCTGAACTTAGCAGGTTCTCTTTCTTCACATTTCACACAACTACATAAAAGCAGAGAACCAGAGTGGAAATAAAGAGTGGCAAAAAGAGGGGAGGTTCAAGAAAGGCTGATGAACCTCAAGGTGGTCTGCAACTACCAAAGCATGTTCCATCCAAAACATCACTGCTGCTGAAGGGCAGCAACCTTTGCCATTCCATTCCTCCCTTCCCTAAAACCACATGGGCATATGACCAGTGCATTCCATTTACACCCCCTGCAGCAAACCATCAGTCCCAGGCAGAGTGACAGCCCTGCCCAGCCATTACCTCTGCCATTGGGTATCACCCAATTCAATCCCCACTAAAATGGGCAAAATACACCTCAAGTATTTTTCCCCTAGATTCTCAAGTTAAACTGGTTCAACAGCAGATATCCAGAGCCAAGGCACAGGAAACAGACTGCATAGCCACAAGCAAGGGAGGGAAGGGTAAAACTCCCTTCTTTGGTGGCAAGGAGCTATATTATACCATCCAGGCTGTCTGTGAAACTATACACTCAGGCAGTAACATATCAAAATGCTCTACACTTTGGGGGTTTTAAATTTATTTTTAATATATTTTTTTTAATATTTACTTTGATTCCAGTCAGCAACTTAAACTTGGAAAAAAGGCACACTTAGTGCCTTGGTTACCAGGGTGGCACCTGCTCAGGTGTACTGGGGGAAACAAAAAAGAAAAATGAAAAAAAAAAAGGATACAGCCACACAACCACACCAGTCCTTTCTGAAGCATGCTTGTGATTCAGTCCCAGTGCAAAGTAAGGATGCAAACTTCAAAAACCACACTGCCCAGTTTCAAGTTCAACCTATCAATGTGTTGTTGTTTGATTTTTTTCTAGTTTACATTCTTCAATGTTGAGAAGCAACACATTTACCAAAGTGACAATCAGGATGCTTACATGCAAATTGGCTCCCTTTATGAAAGTCAAACCTCCTATTTTACCAAATTTTGCAAAAATCTCAATATTCTTACAACCACAGACTTAAAAAAAATGAAATAAAACTATGAAAAAGAATGAGTATACATGATTAAAGTACATATTCTCTACATCAAGCAAGCCAAATAAATCACTTAACAAAACAGGCTGGCTGCCCTTCACACCAACGTGAACTTCTTGTAAGAACTGTTCTTCTAAGTACAGACCACAAAACACGGGAGAAAACGTGGCAGTTTGGTCAGAATCACCTCATAAAACAGAAAAGAAGTAGGAAGTTCTTGCTAGATGCTGAAGTGTCAAAAAACTGAGATTCACATTTCAAGAACTCTTTCTCGAAGAAGAAACTTGGCCCTGGTGAGTGCAACTATATATTGGTATTATGGAAAACAGCTACAGATGAACACCTGCAACTGTGTATGAGGTAAGACTGAAAGGGATCTCCAGCGTCCAGCTCAAGCTCCAGTAATGACTGAAAAAAAAACCCCAACCTTGCATTTGTCCTAGAAAAGGATAATTTTACAAGATTTACACACATCCAGAATGAGACATGGATTTTTAATGTTCAACCAGCAGTGCCCTCTGGAGCGGTGGCCAAGAGAAGCTGCCCAAGGAAGAACACATTTGCTTTGTTCGTATCAGCAAAGTTTCCCTCCATACTTCCTGGCATCCAGAAATAACTCAGGGATTTTTTCAGCCAGAGTGTTTGTCTCTGTAGTTCATAACACCTTCTTTTTTTCCATTATTATTTCCAATTACTTTTTGAGCTCAATATTCAGCAGTGATCATCTTCCACACAAGAACTCCCACAGCCAAACTCCATACTATGAAGTCATGTTCTTTGCCTTGAATTTATCACTTTCCAATTTTATTTCATGGTCTCTTGGTATGACAAAAGAGTGACATTGGTCATTCTCCATTATCCTTCATCTCACTATCATTCATTCATTCCAGCCTGCTGGAAATCCAAGATTACTGCCAGCCATGTCTTCCTCATGCACACACTGGATGACTCATTCCAAGCACCTGGTGGTTCAGGAAGTCAGTAAGAAAGGAAAACAGTCCATGCAACCATCCTATAAGAACTTTTAAAATATATCAAGTTCATCACAGTGAAGTCTGAAAAAAGTGAAATTCTTGCAGATGTCGTTTCATACCATGGAAGTCTGTGTTATCCATTAGATACACTCTAATAAGCAGATTACTTTAAGAACTTAAATCTAAACTGAAGTGCATCGTAAAAATCAGCTCTTCAGTTTCTTTTCTTTTTTGGCATGTTCACAGAATTCCAACTTTAGTTTTCCCAAGGAGATACTCTCAAGCCTGTGAAAACTTTCTGAAGTCACTCAACTTTGTGAAATCATAATTAAATTATTAACTATAAAAAGAAAATGTATCCTGCTGAAGGATCACAAGGTGGAGCTCTAGCCTAAAGCTAACTGAAGAAACTCAAAAAGACAGGTCATCCAGAGGTTGACCTAGTTATTTCTCTGCAATAAACTTTATAACATATTGCTAAAACTGCAGTAATATTGTAGCATATTTGCTTTACGTTTATATTTAGATTACATTAAGACACCAGAGGATTCCTGCATCTTTTCTGAAATAAAGGCATAAACATGTTTGATTCCAATTACTCTTCCAAAGATGGAAATACAAACACAGCTGTTGTAGTATGACTAGTCTCAGTATTTAGCTTTCAAAACAAGTAGAACAATTATAATAGCAGAAATAGTGTATCTCTTTATTATACCTTGCTATTTAAAACTGCTAACAAAACATTAACGAACTCAAAAACAACTGGAAAAACAGGAGTAGTCCAGGAACACTAATCATACACAATGCTTCCAACTATAAATGTAGGAGGGGTTTCTATTTAAAATAATTTGACTGTTAAAAGCAAGAGCTAAGCATGACACAATATCAGACCCTAAATGTATCTTCACTGAAAAAAAGATTTACATCTTAAAGGTTATTAATCCCTATCACATGAATAATTAATTTAGGTATGGTTGTGATTAACTGAAATACACTGGCCAAATGTTGAGTCTGCCAAAAGCTGACAGAATTCACCAGCACAATTCACACAACAACACATGTGCTGTGATCAGCAGTTGCTGAGGGCTACCTGTCCTCTCACAATTCCTGTTACACGCACAAACAGGCTGAACATACGTTAATATAATTCAATGAGCAGCCTTTTTTAAAAGAATATACCTAAATACATACATACACACACACAAAAAATATAAAGAATCACAAGATCAGTCCCAGATGCCTGTGTTTCATCCACTTGTGTAAATGCAGTAACTCCAGTGTTATTTAACAAGCTCACAGTGAGGTTTCACGTAGGTGGGGTTTGATTTGGGGGCGTTCCCTACACAGGCACTTTTTTTTTTTATTGCTGTTGCTTGGCATCTATTATCTGGAAGTTTTATAAGACAAATCAGTAAAGCAGTTACCATTTTTTTTGTGAAGGCAGAGATGCAAAGTTAAAAAGAATGGCTACATGGCCAGAACAAAGATTTTGGTAATGCAGGATTGGCTGTTCAGAGATGTATTGATTTTTTTCCCTGTAACTCAATTAATCACCTGTAAAATCAAGGACCTCACTTGATTCAGAATACTACAACTTCTAAAACTATGATGTTGAAGTGTGTGGCTACAGTTCACCTCTGAATTATTTATTTATCCACAAATGAGAGATGCTGATGCTTCAGGACCAATTATGCAGCAGCAACAGTTAAAATGCAAGTCAGATAAAGGATCAGAAATATGTCCAATATTTTCCCTTAACTATTTTAGAAGAGAAAGCTATTATCAGGTACATCATGCCCCTCACTCCTTTT